TCCCTGTATTTCACTGCACTCATCCTCTGGTGGATCGGTCACGTACAGCTGCGTCAAATTTTCCAACTTGCGTCTGCCATGAATAACATTTTTTCCCTTCCAATAACGCCCAATCAACCTAACATCTCATTTCCCTGAATTTCATCTCAATCCATCGATTTATTCATTTATTATATGCATACGTTTAACTAAATATTCTTGGTAATTACTCACTAGAAAAACGAATCAACTCAGTGCCCCGAATTCTACCTAAATCTATCAGCTTTCTCGGTTTTTGATGGCGCATTTATCGGTTTATTAGTTTATTTATCTGTTCATCCATTTACTGATTTTAATGTCCAAATCCATTTATTTCATGACGGATTCACGTAATTCTTCACTGATTTGTAAATTATTTATTGATTTATCTTGAAAAGGTTTATTAACCAAAAATGATCTAGTGAGCGATTTGATATTGTGACATTCAATTAATTTGTCATTTATGAGAAGGTTCATTAATTGTGGGTTCCGTTTAATTTCGTTCACTTTTGGATGGATTCGAAGAATTAATTCACAAATAATGAATAGTTGATGAATGGTTGCGTTATAAATTGATATTCATTTGGTGAAATCATCGTGTGATAACTAACTGCTCACTCGAATCAAATTCATCATAATCTACCGGAAACGAACACCACCGGTGAAATTTCATATCCTCTATATTATTTGAGTCAAATAGTCCGTCATATGGAGTTTCATGGAGTCTATTTATCGGAGTAAAATATAATGATTTCCGACTGTCAGGAAATACCATATATGACTCCGCATATGGTCACAGTGAGAGATCAATCGACTGTATGTCGATGGTTCAATTTTCATTAAACTCCAATTATTACGTAATCCAACAGATTTCGCTCGATTATTGGTGGTCTTTATTGCTGCTTCTGTTTGATAGCGAGTGTTTATTGCTGATAGAAATAGACTTAGTAGAAATAAAATTGGAAATGTGACTTTTATGGACGAAAGAAGTCTGAGGTCAACAGATAAATTCTGGATTTTTTTATTTATTTGTGTAATTTTAGTTATCGTGTTTATTTGAGATTTTGATATTGAATAAAAATAACAATTATTATTACTGTTTTTTTTGTTCAATGCGATAAATTTTTGATTAAAACATTGATATTTAAAAGAAAATTCCGAAAATATCTGCTAGCCGCGTTTTTTTTTCGCGATGACTCCCCGAAAATAAAAAACTACGTTCTCTCCACCCCAACTGATATATTCCCTCCACCCTTAATTTTTCATTCTCCATCCCCCTGAACTCGCCAAATTACGAACATTACATGTTTCATGAAACGTGAAGTGAAAGTAGAATAACCGTTGAAAATTCACCACTCGCCCAAGAGCTTGTTAATGGTAAAAAGGGTGGGAGAATGGGGAGGAGAAAGGTAGCTCGAGGGATGGTTGGAGTGTGCTCAAAAGTTATCGGCTCAAGTTTCTTCGAGTTTCGAATTTCCAGACATTGGTCCTGACGTGCAGGAATTTCTCGCGTTTCCACGCGTTCACTCTGTACACAAGTGAGAAATAATCGAGTGATGATCATCAAAAAAACAATACAGAAATAAATATCCACACAGCTGAAATCCAATTTTTACAAATAATAATAATAATAATAATAATAACATTTTTTTTCTATCATGAAATGAAAACTGAAATTACAATTCAAGTTGAAGGAAAAATAAAAAATATCACTGAAAGTAAAATAAAAATAAAGATAGAAATCCAAACGAAAATTAAAGTGAATAGAATGTTGTACTCGTTTTGCAAAATATTGCACAATTGCTCGTAGGCAATGAGGCCATCGGAAAATATCAGTATAATGAGTATAACTATTACAACTGTGTCAGGCAGTATTTTCGCTCGTTGCAAACGACTAGTGGAATTTTGCACGTCCCCTAATCGATAGAGTGAGAATTTTGCAGAAACTGGTGCGAGTGTCGGGCGAAAGTCATGCCTTTGGTCAACCTACTTCTGTGAAATAATGGCCGGTATTTGCACCTAGGCGTCGATATTATCGTCCCTCAGGGAACATTCAGGGGTGCGGTATGAAAGGAGATAAAACTGTTCTGCAATAATAAAATGCGCCGGTGCGCATGGATGAGCACGTGAGAGTAAACACCCGACACTTGGCTCTCAATAAACTGTGTAACATTTACTGAACGTTTTTTTTTCCCGGAGTCCATTTTAGACATTCTCATTTAGAGTTAATTTTGAATGAATCCGTTATTTCTACGGTATCATTTGACATGAAATTGATTTTATCGGTAAAAGTTCCTCTGATTATTCATGAAATCATCTCAGAAGGGATTGGGGCAAGAATAATCTGTAGTTCATCGGAAATATTCTTCGGGGTTTCAAATTGAACTAATTTCCCCCATTCAATTTTGCGTGCAAAATTCATTCAATTCAATTAATGATTCATGCGGATAATTGTAAAATTCGCTGTGAAAATGGAGAATTCGATGTGATAGAATTTCGTCCTGAGGGCGTCAGACGGTTGAATCCTCTCGTCGTGTCAAATGAACAAACATCTGTTTATCCGTTTACGTGACTCGTGTCAATTCACTGAAAATGCGTCGGGTGAAATCTCTAGTCAGCGCAAATAGACTGATAATGCGAAAATTTCAATTTTGATTCTGAAAGTCTTGACTTGAGACTCAATCGAACATTTTTCTGTAATCCAAGTTTCTACCGACGTGGGATTTAGAAAAAAGACTTCAGTTGTTACTTTCAAATGAGAACTTGTAAAAGTCTGAACTTTGCCCATCTGAAAGTCTAAATTTAAGACTTTCGTAATCTTAAAAATGAAGCTCAAATCTTTTCACTCTACTTCTCACTAGAATTGTTCCCTCAATGACAAATCGCTGTGATAATTTCGTCGATTTAATCAAGTTTCCAATGGCCGTTAATAAAGAAAGTAAATCTTCTAAGTCGTCCGATCAAGCAGTTGCCACCAAAATGATGCAGAGTTTTTGCAAATCCCATCTCTCGGAAAAGTTTCCTCATTTTTCGTCGAGTTTATCCCACCGCTTGAGAAAACTTTTACCCCGTGGAAAAAATATATCGAGGGAAAATCAATTGGCCTCCAAGCTGGCTGTCGTTATACTACTTTCCTCCGCTTCTTCTTTTCATTTATTTTTAGTTCTTGATTCGACTGAATAATTAGTTTGCTGTCAATGGCCAGAAGCTAGCGCCTGTCTAAAGACAATTGGCGATTGGGAGGGATTAAAAGTGTAAACGAAATCCACAGTTTTATGAACAGCACCCAGAGAGACTGGAAACTAAATAATGAAGGCCCAATGGATAAATAAAATTATATTCATCTCCTGGAGAGATTTTTTGGAAACAATCTTTGAACCTTTTTGAGGGTAAAGGGGTGAATAAGCCCTTTTACAAGTCAATTCAACTTTAAACTAGTGTCAAAGGCCCTGTTCTGTCGCTACATGAACATCTACTGTACACCGTGTGGTGTCAGATTTGAGTGGAGGGTGGGTTAAAGGGGGTTGAAGGTGGTGACTTGTGGCGACACGTGTCAGACATGTGTGTCAAGCTACGCGAGTCGTATACAGCGATGCAAAAGGCTATCGGCAAGATATCGGCATGCACTAGGAGGCCAGGGTTTGCATACATATCGTTGGTTTGGGGTAGCACCGAGTGGCTTAAATGGCATCCCAGTATCCAACTACCTTAGCCCTCACACCACCCACATCCTCACTCTCAACTCCTGCCTTCGAGAACATAAAGTACGGAACTGTATAGATTGGCCGAACCATTCTGTACCAGACACTGATGTTTATGCACTTTGGCCTCACTCTGCCCTTCAAGGGGCTCCTATTAATCTCTAGGTACGCAGCAATTTATGGTAATGAGGCTTCCTGCGGTTGGAAATTATTTACAGTGAAATTATATATTTCAAATATAATATTTAAAAATTCTTCTTTTTGAGATGTGTCACTATATCTTGAAAACATTAAGCTGTATGTATTGACGTATTTTTGTATTCATCTTTAGGGATGTGTTCTATATATTTTCAAAATTTACAATGAATAAGTAAAAATCTAGGAATGTTTTTTAAATTCACAGTTGAATTCTCAATTCGTTGGGATTCACTGGAATTTCCTGCTAAATATTAATTTAGTTCGTCGGATTTTTTTTTGGCTCGGGATACAATTGGATGTTTTATAATTTCCTGTTGGTTATTTTAGTAGACTTTTTGGGGGGATTTTCTTTCAGAATTCCATCCCTGTGAATGTCAAACGGAATTTATTGTTGAATCTCTTGAAAGCCAACATCAAAAATGACCCTGTTTCACCAAGGGAGTTCATTAAACTCCAACTTTTTGATGGTCTTACGTGCGACAGGTATCACGGTGGTGCATTACTTTAAGAGCCTCTGGTGTTTGTACCTCAATGTCAGAGGGATTCGATTTTCCCCAGACCCCGGGTACTGTGCATTTTCCACCACCTGGATATCCTATCAGCAAAATCCCTCGGGTGAATGATTTTCGCAGCAGCCAAATATAATTATCTTGAGAGTAATTTCCCGGAGAAAACAAAATCGAGGATCAAACAGGCAGAGAAATGCCCTGAAGTATGTATTTTCCCACGGGATTTTTGAATATTAATTCCAAAAAAAAATTAACTATAACTACTTTTCCGTTTATCTGCCTTGAAAAATTCATAGAACCAAAAAAAATGATAATTCATGCATAAAAAATGTTATTTTGTGCTCAAAATAATAATGATACTAACATTATTGTTGTTATCTAATGTTGATTAATTTTTTTGAATTTTACTGAAAAAAATAAAGAGATTGCACGATTTCGGAATTTTTTGCGGAATTATCCCGAATGTTTTGTCTCTCCCCGTAGATGAATTTTATAATTTCTATCCCTTTTATTTGATAAATAAAAATCCAGATTCATTATCTAATAATTTAATTCCACATTTTTCTCTTTTCAGATATGTCGTACAAGCCGCGTCATCCGGTAGTCGAGGGTAAGTGTCAAAGAGATATTGCAAAACCAAATTGATAAACTAATATTTCAACAACGTATACAAAAACGAGGGAACGAACTCTGTCCTTTCACGTGCAAAATAGTTTTTTTTTATGGATGAGAGTGAATATCTCAACGCATGCCAGATCTGTCAGGCCCTTGGTACATGGTATTATGAAAGTTCTGCACCCCTTTAATTTCCATCCAACACAACTCGCAGAGTCTGTTGAAAAATTTTTACCGAATTTTTCAGGTTTTAGTCTGAAAATATTCATCAGTTACCCCGAAATTACCGAAAATATTGAAAATTTATCACCTGCGATTAAAAGTCCATAAAATTGGTGAATCGAAATTAAACCCCTCCATAATAAATAAAATAAATTAATTAGAGAAATTCAGTTAAAAATTATTTTCAATATAAATTCTCGGATTAATTATCGAAACCAATCCAATTTTAATGATTACAGTTTCCGTGAAATAACGGGAAAAATTCCCTAAATGAAGAAAGCGAGAACAATAGGTTTTTCATTAATTTCGATTGATCAATATGACTCCCGTATTTGATCCGGGAAATGCGAATGCATCGCGCCATCATTACCGTGCGTAATTAAAAAAAAAATATCTCTTTCGAGTCAATGAGTATTTGGTAAAAATATTTTTTCCCCTCGAACTCTCCCGCATACTTCAATTACATCAAACACATCATTGTGGAATTAAGTGAGTTGAACGGTCACGTTATGTGAGGATTATCACGAAACGACCAGGAAGGCAACATAAATAGAGTGCAGAGGGGAATGAGGAGATGTACTTAAGATACTGTGGGCTTAAATCATTTGTATCTTATCTGTTATTGCTGCTTGAAGATGGTGGCGCCGTAAAAGATGTTTTTCAGGGAGAACAGATCTTCATTCTTATTTTATAGATTTGGAATGCGTGGGGGTGCACTATGGGGTCGTTTCGAATGGGAATTCCGACGTGAGGGACAAGTAACTACAATCATTTGGTATCTCTTTATGATTCTTGATGGAATGAATTTCGAGGCGAGAAAGAGTTACTTAAAACGGTTGTAATAAGTCGCAGGTGAGACTTGAGATTTACCACGAATTTAAGGATGCATTCTCACTCTTGTATTTCGAGTGTAAAAAATTTGAAGTTTCCCGTAGAAAATGGTAATCGCGATTGAAATATGAGTTGATACAAAATACTCAGGGGAATCCCAATTTCTCGGTGGACGCGATTTTTCATTATTCTACTGCTATTGTTATTATAATAATTGCGAATCGTCATTTCCGTTTATATTTTTTCGTGTTTAATTTCATCTTTGAATTTTAGAGATGGGTTTTCACACTATGACTGGCATTATTTTTTTCTTTGCACTATTGCAATCCCAGGGACGCTTTAACTCTCGGAGCCGTTGCGCTGTGACTGAGACATGGTTCCCTCGGGATGTTGCCGAGTCCCTGAGATTTACGAACTCTGTTCGCGTGTATCACGCGCGCAGTTATCCCCAGGTGTATAACCGAGAGGTGTACGACTTAGCGACTGGATATCTCTGAAACCGCCCCCTTTCTCGTTTTTCCGCTTTTTCCTTAACTTCAATTTCGCATGTTCGATCTTGCGACGAATTGCCTACAAATTTCTGGTTAAACATATTAGAAGGTCACCAGGAGCTTAAAATTTATTTATCCAGGGTGCATTTGCGATCAATTACAATTTTCCTCGACAACATTCGTCTGCAGGTTAAATTCCATCGCAAGTGTACGCAGTATCGTATGATCGGTATTGATATTGTACCTCGTGGAATTACCCGACCGCCTGTTGAACTGTTGAATGGGTTCTCTCTTCTATTTTTTATTTATTCTGTGAATTCTGAGATGAGTTAATCGCGTGAACTTGGAAAATAAAGAGTTAAATAATCAGGGAAGTCTTAAAAATACGATTTGTACTCGAACCGAACCGCAAAATGTGCTGGCATTTTCCTTCAAGCATCTAATTTCCTCGGGAAAATGATAAACTTATTGAGAAGCAGTAGTTTTATTCTCAGGAATTATTATGCCTTGTTTTCCAATTCTTCCCTATATTTTATCGACCTTTCAAGGTTCCTCGTGTTTTTAGTACCAGATATACTGCCCAGTCTTTACAATTTTCACCGATATATATCAAGACATTTTTACTCCCCTTCTAGAGCTCAAACAATAAACCAGCTGATGACCGCGTACACCAGGCCTTTTGTTTTTATCATCTCCCAGTGGAGTTACATCAGGCAGAATGTTAATACCTCTTGTCGCGTATGAAAATGTTCAGGGATGAGCGTAAAAGTGAATTTAAGAGGAAATTATGACTGGAATAAAAAAAAAATGCTACGAAATACGAGTTACAAAAATGCACCGACAGTTAAATGAGAGGGATTTTGTTTTATTCTTCGTGATGGATCGTTTTGGTCTTTCAGAAAACTCAGGTTTGTTTTTTTCTTTCTCGCGACTTGTTTGGGAGAACATCAATCTCGTACGCCTGAGCTTTGTATCGTAGCCACTATCAATTTTCTCCTCGTTTCAATTCGATCCATCTCTCTTATCTCGGACGAAGGATCGGCTGATATTTTTTTGGTGGTTCAACAGTAAACCTGTGGGCTTATTCAATGGGAATGCATTCAGCGTGATTACAAAATTTTCTCGGTTAAATTTACCCCAAGTATTATCGGTTTACCTCCGATTTCTCTGCAGAATATTTTCCATTGACACTTCATTCTGGAAAATCATGAAATACATTTTGAGCGATATACACTGCGATAGTATTTTTCTTCAATCATAATTTTTCGAAAATAATGTTGAAGCTAATTTGATTGGGTCTCTACAAAAAAATTCGAAGTTGCCAGTGAACGTTGAATTTTGTGACTGAAAAATCGATTGATAACAAAATACCCTGGTAAATGCAAATTCGTAAAGAATAACAATTTCTCCAATTACGGACTAAACACGAAGATCTTTATCAATTCTCCGACCAACAATTTGCAACCGCCTGAATATTATAATTCCCCTGAGTGTACCCATTAAAAAAATTACCCAGAACGATAAAGCCCGAGTTTTGCCTTTTGTAGGAAAATTCCGAGGGGGGACAGTTTCTCGACTTCCTAGTGCAGGTCTTCCTGTTTTGTCGGGGTAAGACGAGAGAATAGAAATGCCCGGGTTGAAGGTAAGGAGCCCCGCCAAGAGAATGAAAGATGTTGAAGCTGTGGAAAAGGGTCTCCAAGAGGAAGTTTTCAAGTGAGACCGAGAAAGAGAAATTCATGTGTGTTGGACTGTTCTCAGGGTGTACATGTGACCCAAGTGAGGGTAAGAGTCACCCCCGAGGCAGGGGCTTCTTCCAACAGGAAGCAATTTCTTCGCTGGTGCAACCTTATCGTGCACACGTCAACGTTTGTATTGTACTGCTATTGCAACGTATCAACGGAACTGCATCCACCGAATGGGAGATGCTTATTTAGATGATGGCTTTTTTGCACATGATTCTTCGGGTGTGGAATGTCCATGTCGTTGGTCATGGGCTGAGATTTGAGATTTCACTCTTGTCTCAATTTTTTGCAATCACTTCTGACCATTTCATCGTATGCAATTCCATGGGAATTTTAGAACTGGCTTTCGAATTTAGTATGTCGCTTTCCAGAACTTTCAGTCGTGTTGCAATTGGCCTGGAATTTGAGAACTTCATCTTGTTCGAATATTCCCTTTCAAAGCAATTTTTTCTCAGAGAGTAGCAATGGAAAAAATTTCCCGATAGTGCATTTTTCTGTTGGTAAAAAATGGCAGATTCCTCACTGAAAATCCTAATTACGAGGAAAAACATCAAAGACTAGAAGCCATTATTCCATCGGCAGTGAATGTCGGTGTGAAGCTTGCAGGCAGACAACCAGAGGTTGAGCGTATGTATCGGTTGAAATGAATGCGAAAAGCAAAGCGAGAGAGGTGCTCAATAAATTAGCCTGTACCAAATAAAAGTATCAGTGGGTACGTCCTGGGGTTTTCACGGGGTTGGGGGATGCCTCTCGGGTGTGTACGGAGTTTCTAGAATTATCGGAACATCGCTTCGTAGGGAATATTCGTTTGCAATCCCAGTAAAATTTCGTCCAACACGAGGGGAGAGAGATGTTAGGAGTTTCTCCGAGAGCAAGTTTGCCCCGGGAGTTCAACAAATCTCGTTTCACCCCTGAACCTGTGGACCTGTACCCCTTCCCTCTTTTCTTGGCTCTGTAAACCCATCCAGTGTGGAACCACTTCTTCGCGGTATTAATTAGGAGATGGAGAGACCCGGAATATTTGACTTTTTCTCATTTTTATACGTCAACATGAATTACCGACTAGGGCAGAGGATTCATGTATTTTTTAGTGTAGGCTATCTGCTCAGAAAAAATATTTAATTTCATTAACTAAAATGTACTTTCTATTAACTGCGTTAATAATTGGAAAATAACGCGAATGAAGCTTCAGCGTTGGGAGTTCATTGAACTTCAGCAATTCAATTCAACTCTCAACTGGCCAGTCGCAAAGGGCCTCGCAATTTCAGGAAATGTAATAATCCGGAGTGAGACACTTTACGTCAGGTACCATCCCTCTGTACGACTAATCATTCAAAGCGTTTGCATACCGTCAATGTCGCAATGATCCCCCAAAAAAACCAACAATTTCCGACGAAATGACTAAACCCCATAATCCTCCCTTTCATCCCCAACCGAAAATCCCACAGAGATTCGGCTAAATGGTTCATAACAAAATAATCCCGACGATGATAGTCGAATATTTCATGATAGAAAAAGCCTCTTGTGCAGGGAGAAACAGAGAAAAAAAAGAAACAAGGACCATCATTTTATTTTGATCAAATGGACAGACCAAAAAGTGTTGAATGCGTTTGGTGAACAGAGGCCACCGGAAGCTGGACAATGGTACTTCGGTGGTGGCCTTTTAGCGAATGAAAATACGAGCAAGAGGACATGACAGCGAAGGGTTA